TCGTCAATTAGAAGCCCCAAAGAACGCAGATGTGCTGATATTTGTGGTTCATTACATGCCCTTTTAGTGGCTTGTCTCACAACACTTCTAAAGGCGCAGTCGCCATCAGGCTGAATCGCATCTATTTCAAGGTTGAACCCTCCCAAGTGTCTGTTAAGTGTTTCGGTTTGGGAATTTATCGTTGGGTCATCTATTTCACTGTTTTCCTCCACGGTTAAAATGTCTGACATGTTAATCAAATGTATAATATCAAGGGCGTTAAAAGACCTGTCACAATTCTTGCTGCCAATGTTATCGATCAATTGCTGTAGGTTACACATAACAGTTAAAATGCTCGCAGCAATAGACTCCTGAAAAAGATCTTCTACATTGTCTGCAATAACCACCATTGGACTTTCGTGGGTGGGCTGATCAGACTCGGTATACTGAGATGGTGTTGTATTATCAGCAACATTTTTTACTGTACAGAATGATGCACGGTGTAAATTATCGTCATTGATGCATGTCTCAACGGGCGCAACGGGCTTCACTTTTGAGTTGCATTCATGTTTTAACGCGGAAATTTTTTTTTATTGTGCTGTAAAAGATTACAGTCAATAGAGCTATTGCTAGTTCGACTGATATTATACTGGCTCCAGTGATCATTGATCTGTTAAGAAGCCGATGGAGTTGTTCGTTGCGTTCAGTTCCACAGCCTGGAGGTATGCACGATAGGCACCCTTTCCTAATGTGCTGACGCAGGTTCTCCAATTCTGTTTGTGTTGCGCTTGTTAAAGGGCTGCTTGGAACATTAATCCATCTATCATGAAAGGAATTAAGATTTTTTTCGATTTGTTCTTCACTTGGGGTATGTTTAGTTCGCGTTTCACCGAGGTCATTGTTATCTCTAAAAATCTGTATAAAGTCTCTGGTGATGTCGTTGTGCAAGGCATTGCCTTTCGTGAAGGTCTTTGTTATTCTCTGACAAGCATGAAACAAATCAAGTTTGACGTCTACTCCAGGAAATATTTTTTCATATTTGTTCCGAACATGGCAGCAATCGTCAACACAAACAAGCTTTAGTGTTTTTCCCTTAACCAAGTTCCGTTTTTTCAGGTCAATTAGGAGGTCTTCAACTTCGCTTAAAGCGGTAGACTTAGTCAATTTCCACGCAACAACTTCTCCAATTTCGTTTAACGAAACAAATAACTGCTTGAACTGGGTCACAAATTTACTGTCTGCTTCCCTGACCAACCCGACATTACGGCTTATTTTAAAAGTGTGATCGCAAGACAAGATTGATGAGGGTAAGCTTTCCATGGCTTCGGAGTAAAGAAGCTTTTTCTTTTCAAATGACGCCAGAAAAAATCGTATGATCTGGTCACTGCTTGGAAAAGAATAAATAGGGTTACTGTAAAAGTCGGAAGAATTGGATGCGACGTCAACAGCCGTTGAATTTAAGGTGGCACTTACATAGATTCGATTTCTCCGAGAAAACTCCCTGAAATTAAGGGACGCTAACCCCTCGCTTATTTGGAAAAAGTTCACTCCTTTTGTTATATCTGTTTCAATTAAATTAATTAACGCTTTCGTGAAGCCACAACGCAGAAACAATTGTGCTGGAAAATATTCTTGAATATACTTTGGCAAGGTCTCGTGAATATCAGGGGTGGTTGAGCGAAGTTTATGGCTCATTCTGCCGTGTACACAAAGGTAGATTCTTTGAACAAGGATAATATTGCCCATGTAGTCAAAAATGAGCCTGCCATTTTCCTTGTGCTTTCCAGAAATATCACTTGTCCATTGGTAAGGTCGCAACTCTTTGCCATGCAAAGGACATTTCATAGGAATCTGGAATTGCTCCTGGGGGCTCCAAAGAAGCAATTTAGGTAAAAAATAGTGATCTTTGTTAGATCCCAGAGGTGGTAGAGGAGGATGAATTACAGGGCAATGCCTGAAGCTTTGCGGGTCTTGATCGAACTGTTTTAAAATATTGTCGATATATCTCTGAGCATATTCACCATTCGGAAGAGTCACAGCCAAAGATAGACAGGCAAGGGTGCAAAAGGTTATTACAAAAGTCCAAGGCCGCAAGTAAACATCTGAAAGAAATAAAAGGAATTACATGTGATAAAGGTGATCCTCGTCGATCAGCCATTTTATTTTGCGTCCAATTTTACTCAATGTTGCATTTCAATGTGCCTGCCGTCAGGGTCGGCGGAGCCGGGGGGGGGGGTAGTAGGGGGCTAGCACCTCCACTTTTCTAGAAGAAAAATGTTTTTGATTAAGTACAAGGTACATGCTGTAAGCTGTCATCATTTTACACCCTATCCAGGTTGAGTTTATCTTAGAGAAATATCTCATTGTGAATGTTGAAAATACCATTTCCGAGCCTCTACATTTCAAACTTTTCTGAGGAGGATGCCCCGGAACCCCCCTGCGCACCCTCCCGAACAAACCCGTATCTCCAGCGCTAGTTTTCAACGCCCCCGCCCCCCACCCCCCCAGCCCCCACCGCTATTGAAATTGCGCCCCGCCGTCCTTGTGTCTACAGCCACCCGCTGCCCGCTGAAAAAAAAAAGGAGAAAGGGGGGTAGTTTCGGAAAAGAAGACCGAAGCACAAAGCTCTCAAAACTCGAAACCACTGTAGGTTGAAGAACTACAGCTTTAAGTCTTACATAACGCAAGCTGAACCAGGTGAAGGCAACGGATGCGTCCGCACCTCCAAAGGTGCACAAATCCATACCAAGGTCTTATTTTAAGGCACCCCTGCGAACTGTTTAACTGAACGTTTCTAGATAGGAAGTCCTGTATAATTAGTCTCGCGATACGTGACACATCTTAATAATCATTTTTTCGGTACACATACATGTTTATGACGACAAATGGGGTGACACTACTTGAATTTGCTCTCGTGTAATAGCCTGAGACCAAAAAAGCGCTTCCTCTTCCGTCATTTTCGAAAGTTGCGCGCTATTGCAATTTTAATCGCTTGTATGATCTTGGCTGAAATATCCGGGTAAAATTTCACAGAGAAAACGTAGTTAGAAAACAGATGTCGCGTTTACCTACTTTTGAAAAGAAAAACCTAGAAAGAATATTCAGCCGAGTAATTTGGCCTAATGAAAACGGCAGCCATTGTAAAACACTCTGATCAGGTCCAAAACAGGAAGTTGTCATCACTTTTTAAATTTCGTCAGGGCGGAATTGCACTTGCAGCTCCTGGGAGTTGTACTAGAATAGTTTTGAACTAGCTGCATTCTATTCGTTAAATCGTGCTTGATACTGCTGTATTAGCATTGATGACTTGACAAGGGACTGTCTCGTGTTTTATAAAGGGCAAACAGGTTTCGAGTTTTGGGCGATTCGTTTTAGGTGTTACTAAACAGAGTAACGCGGTAACGAGTAACGAGTAACGTAAAACGATTAACGGGCTAAAAATTCAAGAGGTTAAAAAATTAAATAAATAAATCCTAATGTAAGAAAAAACATAACAATGGTTGTAATATCCTAATAATGACCTTTACGAATTTCGAAAAATGTGTATTCCAAAAATTGTTTAAAACAACTCCAGGTAGATATAAAAGCATTGTCATTTACTTTTAATTTACCGTAAATGATCGATTAATCGCCGCGGCGCTTATTTCATTTTCCCTGTTACAGGTGTGGCGCTTATACGAGAGCGGCGCTTAGTTCAACTACGGGTAAAACACTGGGAGGAATATAGAGAGAATTAAGCGAGGGGCGCACTTGGTATGCACAATTTAGTATGTACACCTCCAACTATTATATGAACCTGGTTTCAAGAGTTTCCCTACATTAATAAAGTATAACATTGTGTTAATAAGTCACGTTATATGTCGCGTGACCATTTTGCTAAAAATCGTAAATTATTGACCAATTGGTGGCCGATTTAGGAAAATAAATTGGGAAAAAAATTTTTCAAATCCATATTAAATATTTCTAACACTTCACGTTTGGAATGGCCGGCCGTCCATTGCACTTCAATTAAAAATAATTAAGGGAAAACATCATTTTAAGTGCCCGGTTTAATCCTGAAATATTTAAAACTTTAATTTCAAACTTCGTGTTCATTCATTCCACAGGTTGAAAGTTAGGTCTGTTTATCCTCTCTCAGAAATACCACTTTGTTTATCGAGACAAAGTAAATTCACCACCAATTCGCCAATTTCCTTCATTTTCAATTAAACGTCAAGGCACAAGAAAAGACAAAAAGACTAATTGAAATTGAGGCCTCACATAACGAATGTAACTTTTCCTACGGATAACGGTTGTAGTTTTTCAACTTTTTAAAGCCAAGGAGGACGACGACATTCCCGACCGTGTTTTGGTCAAACGCCTTGCCCCATTAAGACCTCTCGTGTAGTTTATGACACAGATGCATGATTATTCAAGTTATTATTAATAAAACAGACTCACCATACATCTTTCCTTTCCGCTTTATTGTTTGGCTACCTTAGTTTAGCTCGGAGAGGGTACGATCAATGAAGAGACGAGAGTTGACAGAACTGATAATAGTTTCGAAATAAAGTGAAATTAACACCCACTTCCATTTTTTAGATCACCTTTTGCAATGGATTTTTTTTGGACTGTTTAGTAAAATGACGTAAATGTTTCAATTTACCCATTCGAGATATTGCTGTCGCACATTATGCAGTTGCATAACCGTAGTTACCTGTTTCTGTCATGTTGTAATGATCTGCAACGGTGGGGGAGGAGGGTGTGGCTGTCATCTTCAATTTATCAATTTCAGCATCTGATAATGTCTTTTGAAACAGGACATTCACCTTTTATGTCCCTGTTTAGGTCTGGATAATTTCTTTTTTTATCGTTGGTTACGACATACCTTTAACTTTCTTATTTTTCTTACGAAGCATAAGATAACCACAGGCATTAACTTTCATGATCATAACGTTAATCTAATTTCCTTTTGATGAACACGTCAAAATTAAGTTTTTTTTAGTTTTTAATTTGATTAGAGAAATTAGCGCCTGAAAAATAACTGACGCTATTGCCGCGGGCTATTGTTTTTCTGCCTGCTTATTAGCTGGACCATTACTTAAAAGTTCTTTCGACTGCTTTTGGAAATTGACGTCTGAAATGTCTCATTATATCAGACGACACAATCAAGATCTTTTACGCATAAGCCGCAAAGCGTAGCTAAGATTGCATCATTTAGGTGGTTTTTGACATGATGTAATACTAAGGCAGAGAGAAGGCGGGTTGAAGGGTGTTATCTTTGTCATTTTGACCATATGATTAGGTATTTCGAAACAATTACGTAACTGCGCTCTTCCGTTTATATTTTTGTATTACATTTGGGCAACCTTTTACCTTTTGGTACGATTCAGTGTGTCCTTTTGTATTGTTGATCACCAGCCGCACGTACACCACTTCTCATAACAAAAGATTTGCAAGAATTCTTTCTCTAGAGAAAACAAACGACGCAATTGAAGATAGCGGCTTTCTGCTTTACAAACACATTCAACGCGAGTTTCATCACTTATTTTGGCGTTGCGATACACAGTCCTTTTGAATAGCCTGAAAGATGCAATCGTAAATAAGGATGCTTTCAGAGTTTGATATGATTTTGCTGGTAATCAATTACTATAGAGGTTTGAAGAAAGGAAAAATTGTCTTGTTCCCCTTCCTTCGAAGATTTCCCCTAGTTTACCTTCTTTATCAGTCTGGATTTGCAAGTAAGACCACCCACTGTTAGTGTGACTTTCGTTATGATTGTTTTAGTATCGATGTGACCCGTTGATGGAAAAACCTCAGGAAATAAAAACAAATCTTTTTGCTTTTCAATTTTCCTCTAATACTTGGGAATAATGTGTTATCAAAGCTCTAAGGAATTTTGATTGAGTTAGGTGACTTACCTTACTCAACTAAGATAAACGATTTCTGAACAAGGTATGTTTCTGCACCGGATGCTTTTAACAAGGTGTGAAAACGTGGAGAAGGCTGGAATACATGTGTAATCTGTGTTTGTATCTGAAAAAGCTCATTTATTCCAAACTAACAATATTTATATTTCGGTCACCAAATAAGGTCTCGTGTGTTAAACAGAGCAGCGAAATTAAATCATTTTGTCCAAATCTGGGTCAGGGTTTGGAGGACTCAGGGGCACTCCCCCTACGTAAACGTCGATTCAGTACCTCCGCGGATAGCAATAGCTAGCAATGCGCAGTTAGAGACTTTCCAACAATCCGATAAGAGAAGACACCTGCTTTCGTTTCTAACCCTTTTGTAGGTTCTCATTACAACAGCTTTCTTAAAAGGATAAAAATTAGCTAAAGCAATGCTCAATGACCAAAGCGACGACTAATTGGTGTATTACAAAATAAATGGATCGATTTCAGTGATATTTGTCAATATGCCGATAACTAACGATTTCATAACCCCATAGTGTTTTTTCGTTAAAATTGGAAACTTATTGTTACTTTGTGCTGCAATCAGATTGCCATATATGAACAAACAATGCTGCGAAAACCGATGTCATGAACTTAGCTTAATATGGTTATGTCCTCTGAAATAAGACTAGGAGATCTTTCTTAAACGACTTCATTTCGTCAGACCTTATTAGTCATCGACCCGGTATTGTGGAGAGAGAACTTCGTCGTACTTTACTTACAGGTAACTGATCATTGCTTGACATCATATTCATTTTTTGTTCAGTCATATACTTTCAGTCTGACCTATTGTTCGTTCTTTTCATTGAAACTGCGCCATCGTGTTTTAATCGACAAATTCGTTTCTTTGATGGAACAATTTTTCCGTAATATAAATTACTGAGGTACAATATCGTCACTCAGAATTGACTAAAACCTGATGTCGTGCAACCAAAAAACTAACGTTTTCATTTGTGTGTGTTTTTTAGGTTTACATCATGTCAGGAGATACAGTAGAACCCACAGCAAACGGCACAGTAACTGGTGAAAGTGAATTTGAGGAAACTCCTTCTTCGAAACTGATCGAGTTTGAAGGATCCATTGGTTTCAAAAAAGGGAACTCGTTTGTCTCGATGACAAATTTATTTATTTGAGTGCGTTGGATACGTCAAAGGAGAGAGAAGAAACATTGATGGTTATATGTTTTGTGTACGACCTAAATCAGTAGATCCAAGTCATCAAGAAGAGCAAGCCTCGAGAGATAATGGGTAAGCTTGATAATGATTTTAAAATTAGACGCTTGGAAGTACTTACCACAGTCTGTCGCCAGTACGACGTTTTATAAGAACTAGTAAAAATTAAAGATATATTTTGCTTCATGAGCAATCATATTTTGGACAAATCCACCCAAGCTGATATCTATACGACGGCATAGTTATTTCGGATACCCGATTTCTCTCAATGTTTAGTTTATTGACGAAGCTTCTCAGCTGGATGCATCTAGCCCTCGTCTATTTTACCATTTTCAATCTCTTGAATAGGACATCGTTTTCAGTGAACTTAGCCGCCTCGGCATTCGAAATTAGTCACATTTTCAATTTTTTTTTTTTTTTTCAAAAGTATAAACAAATTTGATGAGCCAAAACGCAGACCTCTAGTAATGGATACAACTGCTCGGAGGCACCAACAGTCTAAAGTTTTAATGTCAGTGTGTCAGGCAAAAGCTTATTTATATATTTATTCCCTTCATTGGCTGTCTAGAACGCACGAAGATGCTTTTGTTGGCTACTTTGTTTACAAAATGGCGTTGTCAAAAACACATTTCATGCTCTCCAAACTTCCCGTGTGCATCCATAACTCGATATTATGAACGCTAAGCATGAAAAAATTCTTAAATTTGCCCTTCCACAGGGAACAATCATAGTAAAAGTTAAGAACTTAAAAACGCTAACAGTCTTTTTTTTTTTTTTTTCGTTTTCAAGGATAAATTATGATTAAGGTGACTCGACCCAGTTTTTTTAGGGGGGTACCATTCTACTTTGAAGCTCTCTGGCATCCCCACCTTTACTTTTATCGTAAGTCTAACACATAGAATGGATAACATATAGAACAATCTACAATATAACATAAAATTTTTGGCGATCGGAGTAATTGTCACGTGGTTATAATGCCACGCCCTTTTGAGGTCTGAGTCGAAAATCGGCTGTTGCCGGCATTTTTTCGTGAAAATCTCTCAGCTACACATAGTGCGCATTAGTGCCTTGCGCTGAACAGAGTTTCACCAAAATCGCAAAGACCCAGAAATTCAGAAAAAAATTCAGCGGTTTCCAAATTTAGGTCATAATTTATGCGAAAATGATAAGCAAACTTTACATGGATTGTATATAATAAACTATGAGATTCATCTCTTTATTTTGGGCATCGTTATAACAGATGGGTCCTTGCAAGTCAGCAAAAGGCTTTAGGGCCTTGTAAATGCGCGCGATTTCGAGCAAAGCAAACATATAGAAATTATAGTTTTCGCTATTTGTTGACGTTTGTCAGCGTTTGAGAGTCCTTCTCACGAAAAAAGCATTTTCTTAACAATGCGTAGTTTTTTTTCCTTCAAATTTTTTCAGGGCCACAATTGATTAACTAACTACCCGGACTCTGAATTTCATGGTCAATGAAAAACTGTGACATTATCTTCTATAAGCCCAAACTTGAGTAAACATTGAAGATTTTTAGCGTTTTGGCTGAGTTTGTGCTTTGGGAGTTGTCTATTGTTTCTAGTCTGTCATGATACAGCATTCTTGTTCAGCACGCGTGCAATGACCGCGCTTGGCTGACTTCCGAATGCTCACCGAGATATTATAATTTTGGTACAGTGAGACAGGCCATCGCGTGATACATAGAGGTTTAACTAACAATTTTTAATCAATTCTCGTGCTTCTTGTGTCTTTGCAAAAAAAACAAGAAGTGCTACACACTAAGTCTACTTACTATTACAAAAATATCATTTTTTTATAGGCTTAATAGGTTTAATGCAAGCCAATAATTAAATCAACTCTTGACGGGAATATCTCGGTGAGCATTCGGAAGTCAGCCAAGCGTGGTCATTGCACGCGTGCTGAACAAGAATGCCATGGAATAGTACAAAATCGACAAAGGTTTTCTTTTCCTCATTCAGGGAATCACATTTTCTCACATGCAAAGAAATGAGCAGTCAACTTGGAATTATGAACAAATTATCCAAGAGAAACCTCTGGACCGCGCCCAGTAAAGAGCAGTACCTTCCTGCTTACGTTAAGATGCTGAGTGACCAGTACCTAGCAGGACCATCGCCACGTTCCTTGCAACCAGTGAAGGTCAGCATCACTCTCTACCTATCGAAATTAGTCTTAGAAAATTGACGTACATCTGCTCAAGGCCTAAGAAAATGCAAAGTTACTTCTTCAACCTCACTTTTGAAATGAATTGAGGTGATGGGAAAGAGTTACGTCTAGCCTCGACTTCAAAATTATTTTGATGAGAAGTATTTATTTTTTATTTTATTAGCTTCGCCAACATAATATAAATACGAAGGGGTAATCAAACAAAGTTACAAAGAAAAAGTGTCAGGGAATCTGCAACAGCGTGAGCTAATTACCGCGGGCCCAGAAAATTAAAAAAATAGAAGAATAGTTAAAATAGATAATCACAAAATTAAAAGCAACACGAGACAGGCTGGGCAAGACTACGACACTTATTACATTTAAAACAGACAGACTTAAAAGTGCGGGGATTTTCACAGTAGTAATTACTTAAGGCGGTTTTGTAATACTCTATCATTTCCTGTTTAAAATCATTCAGGGCGTAGATGTGATCTTTTTTTTTTTTTACTCTAATGACACATTCAGTCTGTAACAGTATATATCATTTATCATACGACAGTAACTAGTATCAAATAGCAATTTGGTTGTATGCAAGGAAAAAAGGAGAGAAATTCCTAGCCTACGAAAGCATCCGTTTCTCCCCAGCGGCGAAGAGCGAAGGAGAAACGGATGCTTTCGCAGGCTAGGAAATTCCCGCTAAGACTACACCTACTAGAAGCTAAAAAAAGCGAAATTTGTTCAGTATTGCTCGGTAATAATTCCGAAATAATCATTACCAAAAGGGTCATAAAAACCTGTGAGTCGTTAATGACGCTAATGAAATGAAGTTTCCCAATAATGCGCAATGCAAGAATGTAAGGTTTCAAGTAACTGAAAATTAACGGCATTGTTTTAGATACTGGGGCTTCAACGGGACTCAGACCCGGCTACGTGGGTCCTGGGGAAAAATTTGATCATAAGCGTGGGGAATGACGGAACTTCAAGAATACTGTCCTCAGAGGAGACAATGTTTAGTGTCATCGAGGATTTCTGTCGAATTCCGATGTTGCGACCTCAACGTAAGTGATGTAGAGTAATTATTTTTCTTTTCAATTTTGGCTTCGTTACTTTGTGTTTGCTAACGTACTTGTTCAGACATAACATGTTATCCGCATATATACTTGTTAGGTGTATATCTCCATATGGGATTGGGAACAAATCACCTTGTTTCTTTTCTTATAACAGCAAATCTCTTTTTGCAACGAATGTTTTAGTTTGTTGGATTGTTCTTCATTAACTCTCCTTATAAATTCATAATTTCAATTTTTTATTTTCTTAAGCTGAATTAGACGACGGAGACGGTCTGTTGAAACTTCTGGACTTCCAGGAAAAAGCCTTCGGAGAGAATTTTCCAGCCGCTCTCCTAGTGTTAGGTGGCACTGCACTCGCTGTTCACTATGAACAGCTTAGTAACACCTTCCATGTGCCACCTATAATGGCTTTGGGCGAACCAATAACAGCGAAATCAACAGCCGTCGAAACTGCCTTGTCCATGTTTGGAATGCAGGATTGCGTGGGAGGTAATTCAAATAGTTTTTAGATGCCAATCTTACCGCCTTTTGAGGTCTGGAAGTTGATTCATTGGAATTTAACGTAAGAGAAGAGAAGTCTAATAGTATAAATATTCCAGCCAAAACGAGGGATGGTTACCCGTTTGCCCCCCAAGACCCTTAACTATACTGCAATCAACTATTTTTTTTTCTGGTTGTGAGTTTAGTTTTTTGTTTATAAAGTAGGAAACATAATTATCTGGTTAAGTTCTCCTTAATGGAGTTATTATCAGATTTTTGCCTCTATCATGACTGCCGACTTAGCAGGTGCATGCATGGCACATTTTACGAATATAGAAGATGACACAGCGTCCATAATAACTGAGCCATCCCAGTTCTTTTCTCTTAATTTCTATAAAGAAGGCGCCTCTTAAGGATGATGAAGACAAAAAAAGAGAGAGCTAAGTGTCACAGCCGTTTTTTTAGTCAGGTTTCCACACCGTGCACATTAATGGAAAATTACCTTTTTGGTAAAATCTACAGAGACAACTTTACCAGCTCTGGCTGAAATTGGCAGCCGTCAGACCATTCCTTTTTGGTGGGATGACGTCGAGGACGTAGTCATCTGTGAGAAAATCGCATGCATGGCTTTTAACAAGGTAGGTCTCTCCTACGGGAACTGAAATGTTCAAAGTAGTTTCAAATAAGTGGAAAGGCATGTAGATGCCGTAACAAACCGATCAAAAATACGTTTCGCAGTTCGATTTATATAGGTGAACACAATAAGAAAAAGGAAGAGATTGGAAAACTCTAAGCATTACATAGTTATTGAAATAAAAAGTTTTATTACATCCACTTTGAAATCACTGGCTATCCGTGCAATCTGATTGGCTCTCAGCAGTGTGATTTATTCCTAAATCGCACCATTTTTTGCTCTAAATCGCATCTGTTCCAAATCGCATCATTTCTGTTTTAAATCGCACCATTTTTGTTCCATATCGCATCATTTCTGTTTCGAATGCAAAATGAGATGTAAAAGCCTTTTTGTTTCGTCTTTTTAACAAACCGGCTACTCGATCAATAAAATATTAGTACTGACTAAATTCTGCGATTTCAAAATGGATGCAATAAAGTGGTAATTGAACTTCGTGTCGTGCAATTTTGGTCTGAAATCATACTTGTGATTTCAAATCGAACTCGCGCTGCGCGCTTGTTCGATTTTGAAATCACGCGTATGATTTCAGACCAAATTGCACTCCACTCAGTTCAATTACCATTATAAATCAAAATCCTAGATAGGTTTTTGGTCCCACAACCTACATCATATATAAGGGATTGCCTTACTACACTAAATGCCTAGTGCAATATGAGATACAAATATATAAGAATTATTAAATCGCACATGGATGTTCTTATTTCAAAGAAAAAAATCTGGCTAGAGCCACTGAAGCGCCAAGTCGACCACAAAATAAAATATCTACAAAAAAGGCCACTTACATGTATAATCATAAATCATGATATATGATACCTCAAGAAATTCCCGAGTCTCGACTTGCTACCTTCGCTTCCTTTTTTAGTTTTTGTTTTTTTTTCGGCCCAACTGTATTATTACATCCATCTAAGGGCCTTAAATGGGATGGCCCTTCTGAAAGCTGACATGTGTCTGGCCGTAATAAAGATGACGTCAACAAAACTTAATCACTTCATGTATCTTCATTTGTGTGGCTTATATCTTTCACTGGGAATATATGTTTCACTCCTTTGTGATAGGTTCATTTATTTGTTGTCATCACTGTTCCTGAAAGTCAACAAATTAGTTTATTTAGGGCAGGAGAAATTGGGAGGAAACTTTACCAGAATTGTCTATCTTATGTTACTTCTAGCGATATATATAGCTGGATGCACAAGCATAACAAAGATCTTTCTTCTTTCCTTCTTTCTTTCTTTCATTCATTCTTCCTTTCCTTTTCTCTTTTTTTCTTCTTGTTTTTGTTTTTGCTCTTTTTTTAAATAATAGTCGAGTAGACGAACTCAGCACAGGGAAGTCCGGTTGAGAACCATCCCAATCATGACTATGAATCCAGAGCTGTTAAAAAAGAAGAGGATGAATGAGATGAGTGCTTTAAGGTAGGAAAGTTTTGCATATGTCTCGCATTCCAACAACGTGATATCGCACTTTAAATAGAGCCGGAGCGACTTTAATAGTTTTTGGTTGTGAAAGGCGCAATTCATTTTTGAAGATAACATGTTATTTTCGCATGTGAAGATATCATGTTTTCGCACGAAAGCTCAACTGGTATTTCATTGGTTTTTACACAATAAGGCGTTTTCTTTCATGGTAAAAAGTAGAAGCTGAACAATACAATTTCAGTAACGAATACGGTTTTGAAGGGCACACTCAAGGGGGAGACTTTTTTACATCGGACTGTAACTACATTATATTTCCGTTCACTGGATCTCAATGAGTTGATAACAACATCAAAAAAATAAATAAATAAAAAAGATCGGAGAAGATCGAATCCCGGAGGAAGAAGTGAGGGTACTTTAATTTATGAAAAAGTTGTCATTAAGTCATTCTTAACACTATTTACTTAACATTACCTTTTTGTAGGATGTTTTCAAGGATTTTGGTTATACTCTTTGTAAAAGGGGCAAGGGAGAGCAGCCTTACAGAAAGGCTAGCTCAGCAAGAGTTAGAGTTCGAGGCAAAGAAAAAAGCTAGAAAAAGCGTGGGGAAAATCCTCGAGCTCTGCAAAGATTTCGAAAACATAAAGGACGACTATTTATTCCAGGAAGTCGACGAATTACTAAAAGAAGTTCACCTTGATCCTAGGAGCAAGATGAACTACGGTCTCCTGCTTTATTCAACGGGAAAGGTCAGGCCTATTAAAGTAAAAGTAACTCACCCAATTTCAAAATTTAACTGATAATGGGGTTGTCGCAGCTAAGAAATTCTATATTCCCATAACTGGAAGAGGTAACGACCTATTAAAATGTTAGAAAAATTTTAATACGCCGCCTATAAAATCTGTGACGAACGCACAGTAGCTTGGAAAGGGTGTTTGCTTGTGTTCAACAGTTAACCTTAAATATGGCCTAAAGGTTAGACGTCTCCCGCAATGCCACATCCAACCGTCCAACAATTAAAAACCTCCAAATTAACAATTAAACTTATTATATAACTTGCAACTAGAGTCAAACGATGTTTAGAAAATAAGAAAATTTCTTTAAAATCTCTTTTTTAGATACTAGAAAAGGTCGGCAAAAAGGAGACCTATTTTCCAGTCTTCAAGGATTGGATCGGCGAAGTGCTTGTCCCCTGTTATAATAAGTTGATGGCTGGCAACGAAGCAGCACAGAAATCGCCCACCAGTTCAGCTACAAAAGACCAAGGAGAAGTTGAAGATTTAATTGTAAATCTTTTACGAAAGGCAGCAGAAAATCCAGTGGAGGTAATTGAATGCGTAATAATTAGTAGTGCTCCTGCTGATTGATAAAAATGGCTTTGATTGCACCATCAAGGATTAGTGGTCGATCCTTCATTTACATGGAATGGGACTCAAAACACAGGGGCATCCAACGACTGTTTTAAATAAAAAATATCTGTTCGAAGAAGCCAATATTGTACAGAAGTTTTTCTTACTTGAGGACGCCTAAAACTTTATTGGTGACCATTCCATTCGTGTACAATTTCCGATGCTTGTCTCACTAATAAATTCCCTGCGATTTTCTGAAGTTTAATTTTTTGCATTTCACTCCCCAGGTTAGGCTTTTTTTCGTAGAAAAAAGGAAAACTTAAAATTTCGGATTCATAAATTTGATGGAGAGAGAAAACAAAAAAAAAATCTCACTTTCGTAATACATTAAATTGCATCTAACATTTGCGGGAATATAAAATATAATACTGAAGCCCTTGAAATTTCGAAAAGACTCACTTAAGTTGCCCTAAGATGATTGAACAGATACAAATTTATAGCGCTACTTAAAACAATATAATTATAGAGATCTAAAAGTACTCTGGATAGCCTAAGATGTGTTTTCAAAGTATTTATAGGAGGAAACCGTCGTTGGCTGCCCCTGAAAACATAATGATGATTGCTTCGCAAGAAACATGAAACTCCGAGGAGCAATGAATGTTCAATATTTAACCCAGTTCTTCAGTCTATTTGTATTCTGCTCTAGTTCAACTATTGAGCACTGTTATAGTCGATGAGGACATCATTCTCGTACTTCAATATATATATAAATATATATTTTGTTTTTGTTATCGACAGGCGAGAGCTTTCTTTAAAGCAAACGGCACACCTCGTGGCTGTTTATGTGGCCCGAGTGTGATGTTCAGTGTAGAAAAGACCGTTTCCTTCATCGGTGCCCCTAAGGGAATGGCTGGTGCGATACGTTCCTGGGTACGTCAAGGAAACGGCTGGACAGGCAAAAAGTTTAACCGCTCAGATAATACCCAGCTCCACGGCGTTCATGTCAGACGTCGCCGCCTCCCGGAGGACGTGATCGAGGCCCTTGACAAGGCTTTTGAGGACAGCAAAGGTGAAAAGACCTTTTTTTGGTTGTGAACTGGAAAGATATTTGACATCAACAGAAATTTGAGTTAGGATCGCAACCGAACCGCCCCTTTTTAATAATTTCATCAAAGGATACCCCGAACCAAACTTAAGGACGTGTATGGAGAGAGGTCCGAAGGCCTTACGGGAAACACAGCCAGTTAAAAAAAATAAGAAAAACAAAGCAAAGCAATCAATTGAATCATGTCAAGTTTTGTGATAGGCTGGTGCGTACCCATATTTGCCCTATTATGATTTACGCTTGTCCCAACAAATTGCCTATAATAGATAGAATGGCCAGGCGGTAATCATTTAAAAACATTCTGATGTAGCTCTGTTATGATGACTTTGCAGCTTCAGAGTCAACTGACGGAACCGTCGCTGCTGCAGCAAGGGAAGCTCGAGGTTGGTCCACAATTTTTCAGGTGTTGGCGTTTTTCTGAATTTGACACTAATAACGTCAACTTCATGATACAATAATCATTCAAGCACCACTCAAGAAAAGCTTTTGGACATTTATAAGTCTGGTTCGGAGATCTTAAATTATATCTACACAAGGAACTGTAATACTAACAATGACATTGGTCTTTTCTTAGTCCCACCTCTAGTTCCCGAACCGTCAAATGAAACAGACACTGCAGGAGCCGTTGACGGGGCCGCGGAAGGTAAATATGAAAGTCTTTATAACTAGGACGAAACTTGTGACACTCTGAACCCGTACTGTGTAATATGGAAAACGGATCTGTTTAATGTAGCAAAATAAGAGAAGAGAAGTTCTTGGACTGGTGCAATAACCTGGGAATCAGGCCATACTAAGCAATAAATTAAAGCAATTTAAATTGTAGTAGTAGTAAATATCCCAGACTCATGAATTCAACATCCATTAATCTGATTCGAAGGTCTTTAATTACATATTACAACAAACCTCATACAATGACATGTTTCTTTTGCAGTCCCGCCTGATCCTGACCTGTCTAATGAAGCAGACGAAGCAGGACCCGTTGCAGCAGCCGCGGGAGGTAAATATGAAAGTCTTTCAGTACTTGTAA